AAGACAGACGCCTGGGCCACCCAGGCGTGCCGACACTGGACTTTTCTTTCAAGTTTACTGATCTGAAACCCATGAGAGAATATAATTTTGGTCATCATATTTTCAGCTCCAGTTTTCTCAGATTTTCAAGACTGCTGTCAATTATGTAACTTTTACAAAATAAAGTTTTGGGCATAGTGCCCCCCGCAAATTGTCTCTCATGGGTAATTTCACGTGTCTGCATGGCGGGGCCCTGGGGTGCCCAGAGCGAAATTACTCTGGATGTGCCTGTGAGGGTGTTTCTGGATGACAGCAGCACGTGGTTTGGTGGGCTGAGCACCCCATTGCTGGTGCGCTGCTCATCACTCAAGCCCTGGAGGGCCTGAGTAGGAAGAAGGGAGGAGGGAGACGGAGCATGTCCTGCCTGACACCTGGGCTGGGCATGGTCCTCTCCTGCCCTTGACGGCAGTCACTCGAGTCAAGCAGTGACACGAGCAGCGAAGACCAGCACAGGCTGACACCACCAGGAACTGATAACCAGAACCAGAAGAGGCCGGCAAAGGCCCAACCCCGGTTAAACTCCTTTAAAAAGGGAGAACTTTTGCAGCAAGTGCCGACTCTCCAGATGATGACCCTTTCATGTCTGACTGTATTAGAAAGGCGACTGCCACCAAAACCTCTGTCCAACTGACCTCTGAACAGGGCAGAGGCCCCCGCCCGGCCTGGACATAATAAGCACTTTATGCAGAGAGCTAACCTGCACTGGACCAAGTCCTCATCCCAACTGCTTGCCCACAGGCCAACTTTGCATTTGGTTTGTTAACATCTTATCCCCTTGTATCTTGTTTGTTGTGTGATTTTTTTTTATGTGCTCTGGTTTGTGTGAGGTATATGAAGCCAAATTAAATGTGTAGTGAAATGTCATTGAATTTGGAATCCTAAACCTGCTTTTATCTTGCTTTACAACTGAATAAAGCTGACGTTTTGGGAAAACACAGCCCGTGTGCTCCTTAGCGTGCTCCTGACAACACAGATAGTGTATGCGTGTATCTTTTGCCGCTTCTGCCCTCTAGAGAACCCCAACTAATATCCTAACAGGGAAGTAAAATACTGTCAGTCCACCCACCACAGGGACTAGCAGGTTCTTTTTCTAACAGTATTTTCATTGGCACATGGAGCTCTAAACCAAAGTGAGTTCTCACTCCAAGCAAACAGATGAGTGGCGTGGACGTTACACTCATTCCCGCCAGACCTTTGGTACCAAACACTGAACCAGATTCACTGCAGTTGTGCAGATCCCAGGGCTGTGTGAAGCAGAATGATAAGGTGGTTAATATGTGCGGGCTCAGGACAGGGTGAAGCAGGGAACAGTGTGGGGGGTGTGGTATTTCTCATTACGCTGTAGTACCTAACAGATCCTCTATCTTATGCTTTTACAAATATTTTACATTATATATAAAAAAAACCTAAAAAAACCCAAGAAACCAAATATTTTAGATTATAAATTTTAAAGAATTTAAAGAATTTTAGTAAGTTTTTCTTTTGCTTTTATTACAAGCATATAATATTAATTGGCAAAACACTGAGTACAAGCTTCACTATCATAAAATCAAAACATTTAAGCAATATTCCAAAAAAGATTTTAGACAAAAACTAGCCACCAATAGTACAAAAATTACACACCAACACAAAGCATAAAAAATGTAAACTTTTAAATTAAACAGTCAAAAATATGTATCTGCGTTGTCATCTCAATAAATCGCGACACGTGTGACGATCAGGCTAATGGCGGCTCACACCCCTGGACCCTACATCATTTGAGGAAAAATGGTTTTCTTAGACCCAATTAAGTTGTCAGAATAGACATTTACACTAATGCTACACACATTTTAGGGGACACTCAAACTTCAGTCCATCCTTCAGATGCGCTCATGGACGTGGTGAACCACGCGATGCAGGCAGGGGTGGGGGTGGGGGTGGTTGCCTGGGCAGAGCCTCCTTGGTGGGCCGGTGGCTGGCCGTGCCACACCGGTCCCTGCCTGGCAGGGACAGGGTCTTTGTGAAGATTATAGCTAGTTTGAATAATGGTTTTCTAATCTACGCATCCCAATTTACGTAGTTTGTTTAAATACCAAGGCAAACGAACACACTGGCTTATCACGCTAGGGTCACACGTGATGTGGTGGACTGTGAATGATTTCCTGAGGAAACAGAGAAACTGGATTTGTTCTGATTTAGCTATCTGCGCTGTTTACTTTCAACGTCTTGAGAGTGTATCTAATATTCACGTAAAGTGGAAATCAGCTGGCTCATTCCTGGAACAATCAATCCAATGACACATTTTAAATTGCTGTAAAATGCCCTCCTGTGTGCTCTGAGGAGAAAATGAAATGGATTTCTCAAGACTTCACTACAAGGAGGCATCAGATCTGCACGCCCCAGAGGGCTCGCCACCGTGGGAAGTAGGGCCATCCCAGGTGTGGTCGATACACGGTGGTGCATCCAGGGCTGTGAGCACGCAGGGTCTGAGACAGGAGACCCAGGGCGGCCACACACCACTTCACGGCTGCCTGCCCGGTCACGCACCCTAAAATATTCTCGCGCAGGGCACACACACACACACACACACACACACACACACACACACACACACCATCCCCAAACAGCACTCTTATAACAACAGGGAAAAGAGAAAACCAAATAGCTGAATGTACATATCTTGAAATTCCACCGACATTCCCTTTCGATTTAGCAGGAGAGATGCGACATTACAATTTAAACAGATGTCTAATAAATGCATCTTGGAACCTATTGCACAAAAGCATAAACAATGCTCTTCATCCATATAAAACAAAAACGTACAAATTAAAAGCTACTCAAAGTAAAAAGAAGAAGCTTGCAAAACATGTCACAATTTCATTTTATATGCCTGTAAATAAAGCTGGACCACGGAAACCAAACAATTGGATGGGAAAATATGATAGAAGGCTTAAAATAGAATAAATAATTTTATAAAGTTAAGTTTTCTTTTTTTTAACCCCCCAAATCTTAAATTCAATATTATATATTCTATCTGAATTTTCTATCTTCATGAAAACTGCATTTAGTGAGACTGCGTGCCGGGTAGCAGGTCCCACTGCGGTGACGGTGATGCAGGAAGGTAACTGAACAGGACTTGTGTTACCAGCGTAAACAGTCGTGAAAACCACATCACAGGAACTCCGTCTGTTAAGAAAGAAACTGATCCTGGCTTTCATGCTGGAAAAAATGAAACTCAGCCTTTTGAAGTGAAATGAAAGTGTGCCAGTGGGGAAGGGACCACGGAAGCTGCCCTGGGGCACAGGCTCTGGGCTCCTGTCGGCCAAGGGGCAGGGGGTCCCTGGGGCCGTCCTGCAGTGAAGACAGTCTGCATGAGGAATCTTAGAAAAATAGGTACGTCTGCTGCTGAGGTTTTGTCAGGTTAACACGATTACAAAAGGGGGTCACAGGAGGGTCAGCAGCCAGCCGGTGGTGTTAAGCCAGGCTACGACTATCTCTGCCTCTCTGTGTATCGAAACTCCACTTAGCACCATAGCAAATTCAAGTGATTTCAAAGATAGCTACAAAGTTACAAATATATATGATGAGATTACCACAGCGATACTCAGTCTAATCTGAACCGTGAGCTGATTTTGTTTGAATTTGGATGCTTACACTGTTGAACCCTCCCCTCCTCCACCACCCAGGAAAATACCCAAGTTCCAATGCTACACCTAAAACCGCACCAGTGGTTGCAGAGCGTGTCAGCAGTGACGTGTATGCTGAGGTAGACAGGTGATATTTACTCATACACGACTACTCATTGAACCTCATGGAGCAACTCTAAGACAGGATTTGGATGAACAGCAAGCTTAGCGAACTGAACACGGCAAACTGGGAGTTAATGGGCTTCAGTGAGAGGTGAATGTTGACCAATTCCTAACAGAACCTGTTTTTAGGTTTCTAAAAGGCCTCACATTAGAGTCACTTGGACTGAATTAATTTGAACGGTTTTCTTGTCACCAAGATTAGGTCTTACGTATATGGAAGAGGAAGCAGAAGAAACCCAACCGTAACTTTCAAAGCAAATGTGAGAAGAAATCCTAGTCAGGATGGTGACATACTCCATGAACAAAGGAGGTGGGCGGTCACGGACACCGGTGCTGGCGGCCCCCTGGGGGGTGACTGAGGAGGAGGGGGAGGAACCCAGAGCTCGTGGACAAACAAGGACAAAGACAGACACAGAACCCCAGGACAACACTTTCACGGTCCCGGAAAACGGCTGCTTTCTCCTCCTGCCTTTACACATTCTGAGTTACTCTTTTAAAAGGACAAATACTTATGTGCTGGCAGAGTTTATTCACTAATTCCACAAAAATATTAACATGTGGGAAGAGAAAGGGGTTAACAAAGAGTGTGCTGCCTGCGACTGGCATTTCAGGTCATTAAGGAACTGAAAATGCAACCAGCAGGCTCCTCTGCTCCCGGGAGGGTGCGCCTCCCCCTGACAGCAGCCTCAGGTGTGGGCGGCAGACGCAGGGCAGAGCTGTCCACGGGAGCGCGTGGGCGGCCGAGCTGGGAACCGCAGTCTGCACGCCCTCCTCTGACCCACGGTGCCTTCTCAGGAAAACCCCCACACAATGCCACCCCCCCTCCAGCACGATGAACACGGGAAAGAAGTAGGGAATTTAAGTGGCAGCCCTGAACGATCAGAGCCCTATTTAATACCAGTAATGTTTAAGAACGTGAATGACTCTGCAAACCAGCATTAAGCCAGCCAAGCCACCTCTGGTCTACCCTGCGGAGCTGCGTCCGCGTCTGGGGAGCAGCGGGGTGGGGGTGGGGCCCCTCCCTCGCCTCAGGGCCACTGGCCCCACTGGGGCCTCAGCCTCGGAGCCCAGAGTGACCGGCCGGGCAGGGGGCGAGGCAGGGGAACTGTTGGCTTTTCATGGTTCCTAACGTGGAAAATTAAATACTGTGGCTAACTCATAGTATTAATGGAATGCTTTTAAATTAACCCTTTATATACCTTCTAAGTCTTCAGGAAGCTAAAGGCAACATAAATATTGTCATTCACCATGAAGAGATATTTTTCAATAACTTAGGAAGGGTTCAGTAAACGTACAAGTATTTTTGAGGCTTATCATGAACCCTAATTCATAAACGAAACGGAAATGACCAGATCTTCAAGGCCTGGAAAGCAAGTAGAGGTCGTGTGGCCGCTATGTTTACCATCTAGTCTGTGAGGGGCGCCCTTCGGCCGCTGAGACCGTGAAGTGTTTCGTCTTGTAACCGTGGTGCTGGTAGTGTCTTGTTGAGTGTGAATTCTCTCATACAAAAGTTATAAATACTCTCTATTCAGAAATCTGGTCCCCACGACACCCGCAGGTGGCACGGCGGTGCAGCGGGGCCCGGCCCGGGGCCGAGCTCAGAGCAGGTCCATCTTGGGTCTGTAGTGCAGCAGGAGCGGTGCCTTCTGCAAGACAAAGTCAGAGCATGGCGCCCGGTCACAACCGCCAGCAGTGCGGACGGCCGCCCTCCCTGGGCCCAGGTGCCCCGGGGCCTGCGCACAGCTGCGGCCCCACCCGGCCCCGCCGGCTTTCACCCCCTTCTCCGGGCTGCCCCCCAAGCAGTCGGGGTCCTGCCATCTGCGTCCTGCGGGGGGGGTCACCTTGGCCACCCCAGGGCTTCGTGTGGCTGGGGCCCTGATCACTTCAGAATGACTGCCTTTCACAACAGTCCTGTGACAGCTACTCATTTCTAAGCTCGTGGTTGGAAATATGCACAGAAAAGTAGTTGCCATTTGTAGCCGACTCTGACGATCAAACAATCCAACCTTTACAAAGTCTTACCTTGAATCTCCACCTCGTGACAACCACAAATTTGAGCGTGTGGTCCTTGCCCAGAATTTCCTCGTTGCATAAAATGTCCAGCTGGTGGGAGAAGAAGGGTTCAGTCAGGGCGCCAAGGGCATGGCACTCGGCACCCCTGGCCTCCAGGCTGTGCCAGCTGTCAGTCACCTGTGGGTGACGTGTCCCGTTTCCAGGTGGCACAGGTGGGGAGTGCTCGGAAGGCCCCGCCCCAACCCAACTGAGGCCTGAGGGGCCCACAACCATTATGCCCTGCCCCCGCCAGGGCCCTTGGCTGCGGTCACCACACTGCACCTGTCTCCCCACCTCAGTCCACTCTTGGCCGTTTGTCCCTCTTACCTCAGTGGAAAAAGGAAACGGGTTCTTCAGATGGTCTTTTTCCTTTCTTTTTTAAAAAGACTATTTTTAGGTTTGAGGGTGAGAGCAACACTGAGAGGGAGGTTCGGAGAGAGATCTCCCATGCGCCCCCGTCCCCCCACGATCCACATCCGCACCGGGATGGGACATCCGTGACGGTGGACGGGCCTCCACGGACACGTCATCATCACCCAGAGTCCACAGATGACCGCAGGGCCCCCCCTGGTGGTGCACATTCTGTGGGTTTGGACAAGGGCATCGGGACAGGTGCCCACCACCGCAGTACCACCCAGAGTTGCTCCCCGGCCCCCACATGCCCCGTGCTCCACCTGCTCACCCTCCTCCCCCCGAACCGACAACCGCCGATCTTGGTGCTGTCTCCGTGGTTCTGCCTTTTCTGGGATGTCCCACAGCTGGAATCCTATTGCGTCTTTCCCTCAGTAATGTGCATTTAAGGGTCCTCCGTGTCTTTTCACAGCTTGGGCGCTCGTATCTCGCGAGCATGAGTAATAGTCCATTGTCTGGGTGCAGCACGGTTAATTTACCCAGTCACACACTGAGGGACGTCTTGGTTGTTTCCAGGTTTTGGCGATTATGAATGAAGCTGCTATAAACATCCGTGTACAGGTTTTGGTGTGGACATAAGGTTTCAGTTAATGCAGGTGAACACCACGGAGCATGACTTGATCTAATCTAAGTTAATTTCTGCATATGGTGTGAGGTAGGGATCCGATGTCAATCTTTTGCATGGGGATGTACAGTTGAAAAGACTATTCTTTCCCCATTAAGTGGCCTTGGCACCTTCGTTGAACATCACGTGACCACATACATGAGGGTTCATTTCTGGGCTCTCTATTCAACTCCATTGATCTTGATGTCTGTCTTTGTGCCAATATCACACTTTTTTTTATTAGTGTAGCTTTATAGTAAAAGGTTTGAAATTAGGAAGTGAAGGTCCTCCAGTTTTGTTCTTTTTCAAGATTGTTTTGGCTACTCAGGGTCCCATGAGATTTCATAAAATTTAGGATGGGTTTTTAAATTTCTGCAAAACACATCATTGGGATTCTGATAGGGATTGCTTTGACTATAGACTGCTTATAGACTGCTTAGGTAGTATTAACATTTAACAACGTTAAGTCTTCCAATCCATCCATTTGGGATGTGTTTCCATTTATTTATGCCTTCTTTAATTCCTTTTAGCAATTTTTGTAGTTTTCATTGTGCAAGTCTTTCACTTCCTTGGTTAAGTTAATTCCTAAGTATTTTATTCTTTTTGATGCAATTGTAAATTGAATTTTTTTTTGCAATTTCCTTTTCAGATTATTCATTGCTAATGTACAGAAATGCAGCTGATTTTTGTGTTGATTTTATGTACTGCTACTTTGAATTTATTCGTTAGTTCTAACACGCGCGCACGCGCGCGTGTGTGTAATCTCTGGGATTTTCTACATGGAAGATCATATCATCTGCAAACAGAGAGAAATTTTAATTCTTCCTTTCCAACTTGGATGTGTTTTATTTTCTCCCCTAACTGCTCTGGCTGGAACATCCAGTACCATGTTGGATAGAAGTGGTGAAAGCAGCATCCCCACCTTGTTCCTGATCTTAGAGGAAACGCTTTAAGTCTTTCAGCAATGAGTCTGATACTTGTAGTGGGTTTTCATATACGGCTTTTTATTTTCATGTATCTTCTATTCCTAGTTTGTTGAGTTTTTTTTTTTTTTTTAATTATGAAAGGGTATTGAATTTTGTCAAATGCTTTGCAGACCTCCATCAGGTTGAGATGATCATGTGGTTTCCCTCTCCATTCTGTTGGTGTGGCATATTACATCGATCAATTTATGTTGAACCACGCTTCCATTTCAGAAATACCCAATTGGTTGTGGTATATAATCCTTTTAATATGCTGCTGAATTGTTTGCTAGTATTTTGTTGAGGATTTTTGCATCCGTGTTCATCATGGATGTTGGTCTATAGTATTGTTTTCTTACAGTGTCTCTGTCTGACTTTGGTATCAGGGTAAGGCTGGCCCCACAGAATGAGTTGGGAAGTTTTTCTCCCCTTCAATTTTTGGGAAAAGTTTGGGAAGGACTGGTATTAATTCTTCTTTGAATGTTTGGTAGGATTCACCTGTGAAGCTACCAGGTCCTGAGCTTTGCTCTGTTGGGAGATTTTTGATTACTGATTCAGTCTCCTTACTAGTCATAGGTCTAGTCAGACTTTCTGTATCTCCATGATGTAGTCTTGTTAAGTTCTGTGTTTCCAGGAATTTGTCCATTTATCTAAGTTATGACAATCCTTTTTATTTCTGTAGAATCAGTAACAATGCCTCTGCTTTCATTTTAGACTTTAGTAATTTGTCTTTTTTCTTAATCCACTGGTCAAATTTTTGGTTGTCAAATTTTATGTTTTTTTTTTAATATGATTTTTAAAGATTTTATTTATTTATCTGAGAGAGAGAGAGAGAGAGAGAACATGTGTGGGTGGGGGTGGGCGAGGGACAAGCAGACTGAGCTGAGCTTAGAGCCCGACCCGTGGCTCGGTTCCACGACCATGAGATCACACCCCATGCTGCAATCAAGAGTCAGAGGCTTAACCAACTGAGCCACTCAGGCACCCCCAACAATTTTATTGACCTTTTCAAAGAACTGCTGAATTTCTCTCTTGTTTTTCTGTTTTCTATTCCACTTATCTCTGCTTTAATCTTTATTATTTACTTCTTTTGCTAGCTTTGTTCTTTTTCTAGTTTTTCAAGTTGTAAATTTAGGTTGCTGATGAGATCTTTCTTGTTTTTAATGTAAGTATTTATAGCATAAATTTCCTCCTTCGCACAGCTTTTGCTGTATCCCACAGGTTTTGGTAAGTTGTATTTTCATTTGTCTCGAAGTACTCTTGGATCCATTAGTTGTTTAACTGTGTTGTTTAGGGGCGCCTGGGTGGCTCAGTGGGTTAAGCGTCTGCCTTTGGCTCAGGTCATGATCCCAGGGTCCTGGGATCGAGTCCCATATCGGGCTCCCTGCTCAGCGGGGAGTTTGCTTCTCCCTCTCCCACTCCCCCTGCTTGTGTTCTCTCTCAAATAAATAAATAAAATCTTTTTTAAAAAGTATGTTATTTAACTTCCACAGTTTTGTGAACTTTCCAGTTTTTCTTTTGTTATTGATTTCTAACTTCATGCTGCTGTAGTCAGAGAAGACACTTTTTAAGATATCTACCTTTTAAAATCTACTGAGGCAATTTGTGTCTGCCCTCCTAAGGACCTTTGTCACTGAATTTAGGGCCCAGCTGGATGATCCACAATGGTCTCTTCATCTCAAGATTCTTGACACATTGACAAAGACCTTTTCTCTAATAAAGTCATATTCACATGTTCTGGGGGTTAGAAAATGGACACATCTTTTGGTGGGGGTCATCATTTAACCCACTATGGTCTGCCTTCTGGTCCCTCAAATCTACATCTGTCCCACATGCAAAATATATTCACCCCATCCCAACATCTTACCGTAAGTGCTGCTACCTCAGGAGGGCTCCCCAGGGACGTCTGAGCCAAGATACTCACCCAGGTTTCTGTCCACCAACCCCCTGTGCGTACCAGGGGTGCTGGCTTTCATTTAATTCCCATCATTTACCACAAAATACCTGAAAGTATCTCACCTATCTGCCTGCCCACCTGCTTCACCCCCTACCCAGCCCAGCCAATCATCCATCCGTTGGTGAAATTAAAGAACAGAGTTTCTCTTCGAGAGGAAAGCCTGCTCTACATCTCACCCTCCCTGCCACCCCACCAGCTTCCCCTCCTGTTAAGGGGGCTCCCCATGCTCACATCTGGCCCTCCCTCCACTCTCTTCACCACCACATCCCATCACGCTGTCTGGGAGTGCGCAAAACAGAGATTTTTTTTTTCTGTTTTGAAATCTCCAAACAAAGATGTAAAAACAAAAAAACCAAAGAACTTTAGAAGTATCACTTTCACAAATGAGAAATGATTTGTTACAGTTTCCATCTGCGGTACAACTATTACCTCGTTGAAAGACGAAAGGTTAAGTTTTTTGGCGATGAACTTCTTCAGGTGCAGCACTGTTGCCTGGGCCGAGCAGCGGATCCACTTCCGTTTCAAGCCCCTCAGTTTGCTGCTGTTGCATTCCAGGCAGATGCTCACCTGTAAGAGACAGGTACGGCTGGCAGCCAGCAGGGGCCCGCCACGTGGCACTCTTGAGGCTCTCTCAGATGCCTACTCACTCCGGGAAATGCCACAGTGCTGACCTGGTGAAATCAGAATCTGTTTTGACTTCAACAGAATCTGTTTTGACTGTGGAAAAGGGTTTTACTTTACTCATTTTATACACGTTATCTTAAAATCTCTGTTTACCATTTTGTGAAATATAATCTAACAGTGTTAATCCTGTTTTACCAACATAGTACTTCAAAGTAAATCTGAGAATTATTTACTCATTGTACACACAGCACTGGTCTCGGAGGGAAACGGACGCAGACTGCCGCCCCCCACAGGCTGTGCTGAGTGCTCCACGGGCATGATGAGGAAGGACACAGAGGCAGCAGAGGCAGCGCCCCCGGCTCTGCATGAACGCACCGAGGAAGGCCTTATAAAGGAAGCAGCAGGATGCCTGGCCTTGAAACAGGACGGCAAAGGCACTAGAGAAGAAAGGACCCTGGGCTCAACAGAAAACCATAAGCAAAGGCACAAAGTTTGAAAGTTCAGTTACCTCTTGGACAACCAACAGTTCAGGGGGGTCACAGAACACGCTGTGTGACAAGGAACCTCAACATAACTAACTAAAAGCGATTTTGGGACCAGGGGGTGCCTGGGAGATGCAAAAGGAAGGACCTGCTCAACACAGCACTCATGAATGAATAATTCTCCAGTAGCAGCCACAAAAAATGGCACAATCAGACCCCCCAAAATTCTGATAAAAGAATTAACAAAGGAGGGCTGCCTGGGTGGCTTAGTTGGTTGAGTGGCCAACTCTTGATTTCAGCTCAGGTCATGATCTCAGGGTCGTGAGACTGAGCCCTGCATCGGGCTCTGTGCTGAGTGTGGAGCTTACTTGAGATTCTCCCTCCCTCCCTCCCCCTTCCCACTGCCTGCACGTTCTCTCTCTCCAAAAACAAAACAAAAAAAACCCTAAAAAAAAAAAAAAAAAGAATAGAGGAATTAAAAACAAAATACACTATGAATAAAAAACAGGCAGGTATCAAAGACAACCAAATACAATTTGTAAAAACTCAGTGGGTGGCTGAACCACAGATTAGTCTCAGTGGAAGACAGACCAGTTTCATGAGAGATCAACCTGAGGAAATTACCTAAAAGAAGTACAGACAGCAAGAGAGCAATTAACATAACAAACAAAGAAAAGGTAAAAGGGGGACACAGACAGGGACCTAACCTGTGACAGAGATTCTGGAGGAAGAAGGGGGAACAAGGGAAAGGTAAATTTAAGAAATAATGACTAAGGATCAAAATGATGGAGGACATAAACTCTCAAATTTAGGAAGCAAAAGAAATAAAGGAAACCTACACCACACAGACGTGGAGGAAGGAGCCAGCGGGTAGTCCTCCAGACGAGGCCGCTGTGCCTGCAAAGCCCGGCAGAAGGTAAGCAGAGAAGTTACCACTCAAGGGTGCAGATGAAATGAACCATCTGTGAGCAAAACAGAAACCGACGAGGAGAGGGGACCCCCCCGTAGGCAGGTGAGCTCGGGGGCGGGACGCCCAGTTCCATCTAGATTGCTCAGGGAGTGTGGCAGGTTGGTTTCTAATTTTTATTTTGAAGAGCAAAGGGGCATGATTAGTCAAGATGATTTTGAAGAAGAAAAATAAGGGGGTATATGCCCCATCAGAAACCACAACTTAACAGGTCAAATAATTAAATAATTGTAACTCGGTAAATTCCCTGTGGTTTTGGCATAAGGGGAGACAAGAGCAGTGGAACAGAGCAGAACCAACCCAAGCGTGCGTGGAAACCCACACGTGGTAAGATTCTAATCAGCCAGGCGAAGAGGACCTGTTCACCGATGCTGATGAGCCAACTGGTCAACCCGGGAGGAAAAGAGACTTGACCTCCCCTCCAGCTACACACAAATCACCTGCTGGTGGCTTATAACCTCACTGTAAAAAGTAAAACTTTAAGATATTTTACAGGAAAACATAGGACAACATACTTATGACCTTGCGGTGGGGAAACTTCCTGAAATACGAAAGGAGAGCCTCGAGGCCGTGCACGGTGACCCAGGTCAGACTACCCAGCACACAAAGTCCACAACAGAATAAGTAATTTGATAAAGAGTGGAGGCACCGAGAGAACCGAAACATCTGGAGAGACACCCAACACCAGTGGTGCACACACACGAAGACAGGAATGAGGACAACAACGAGGCATCATGTCTGGGAACAGCCCCACGGAGACCCGGAGAGCCAGTCAGCCCCTCAAGCGTCCGAGCACCAGAGTGACCAGGACACCCGACAGAAAGATCAGTGAGCAATGCCACGGTGCTGTCCTGTGCACACAGCACACAGCAACACTACGTGCTGACATTATGCATCCCCAAGTTCTCAGAAATATAACTGTTACTGAAAAAAGTCAGTTGTAGAAAGACACATGTTCTGTTTCCTATGGTTTATGGCTACACAAACAGATGTAAATATAAACCCAGCAATCCAGCCTAGCACACAATTCTCTGTTCACGGGGTGTAAGAGCCCCAAGCCCCGTGTCCTCCCCAGGTCCCCAGTGTGTCCCACAGGCTCACTTTCACACATGTCCCAAGCCAAACTCTGGCCACCCCATGCCACCCCACTGCTTGAGCCACAGAGGCTGCCTGGTTGCCTTCCCATCTGGGGAGCCCTGGCCTCCCCAAGCTGAGCCTTCTGCCCCGTAGGCGGGCCACACCCGCTCCACTGCAGGGCTCCACACTCACTGCCTCCTCCCTCCTCGGCAGGCCTTGCTGGGAGGCCCTGCTCCACCCCACCCTCCCTCCCTTGCAGATGGCTGCCTGCCTCCCCCTGCTCACCAGCTCGGAGGGGGTCGGGGCCCAGACAGGGTGGGTGCTTGGGGTTTGCGGGATGGTGCCAATCCCCCCACCCCACTGTCCCACAGGGCTGAGGCTGCACCCCCAGCCACCAGCATAGCACAGGCGCATGCCGCATCCCACAACCCACAAACCCGGGAGGGCAGGCATCTATAGACTGGGCCTGGCTCCTCCTCTCTGGGGCCTGGACACCACGCCCAGCTGTGCTGGGCTCAGCACGTGCTTCCCAAGTGAGCAGCGAGTGGGGATGTGGCCATGCTGCCTGATAGTTCAAAGCTCTCACTAAGCCCTCCTGTGGCTGTTCGTGCAGGGACCCCCACAGGTCAAGGGCACCTCTGGGAACACTGGACAGCCCATTTGCTCAAAAGCAGGCAGAATGTGGGCCTTATAGGAGGGTCAAATTGTTCTTAAAAGTAAGTGTATATGCTAATTTTCTTATGTTTGCTTTAGTGACTCAGCAGTGCTCCAGAATCTGCCCTTTACTCCAGGCCCACCTGGCAGCAGTCCAGGGTGGGCACGCTCATGTCCCACAGGCAGAGAGAAACCTGCTCTCGACAAGGGTGGAACCAGGGACCAGGGCAGTGGGAGCAGCGGGAGGGCAGGGTGCTGAGCCATCAGGGTGTCTGAGCAACACTTCCAGCTGACCGAAACGTCACAGTGCTCCATGAAGAATAAATCAGAATAGTGCCAGACTATTCTCTCCAATTCTCTGCTGAACAAAGAAAGACCTAGGGCTGCAGCCCAGCTGCGGCTCAAGAGCAGTAAACCCTGACAAGCATTGAGCGTCAGCGTCTGGGCCCGAGGACTCTGGCCTGCTGGCGGACTGGGATTTGGGGGCTCATACTTCTCTTAGCTGTTTTTCTTTTTCTTCTGCTGATGCTTGGTGTGAAAAGTGCACAATTCAGTCTAGTCATCTGAGTGACAGGAGAGGGAAGGGTTGGTCTTCAAAGTTATTCTGAATTTAGAATTCGATACCCAGCCACATTATCATGCAGACATGCACGGGACACATGGAGGGACTCAAAGTCCATGATGCACACACCCTCTCTGGAAAGAAATGAAGAGGGATGCCCGCCCACCCCCCCCAGAGGAAACACAGACTCCACAAAAGGGGAAGATGGGATAAACCCAGCAGTATGAGCAAAAAGCCCACAGAAACTCATACTACCTTTTGTTAAATCTAAATAATTATTGGGGCGCCTGGTAGCTCAGTTGGTTGGGCGTCCGACTCTTGGGTTTCGGCTCAGGTCCTGATCTCGTGGGTTGTGAGATACCAGAGTCCGCTTGAGAGTCTCTCTGTCCCTCTGGCCCTCCCTCCACCCCTGCATGCACGCTCTCTCTCAAATAAATAAATAAATCTTTATTTATTTGACAGAGAGACAGCGTGAGAGGGAACACAAGCAGGGGGAGTGGGAGAGGGAGAAGCAGGCTTCCCGCGGAGCAGGGAGCCCGATGTGGGGCTCGATCCCAGGACCCTGGGACCATGACCTGAGCCGAAGGCAGACGCTTAATTAACGCCTGAGGCACCCAGTGCCCCTAAATAAATCTTTTTAAAAATAAATTAAAACCTGATTATTCAGGTTTTTCTCTTATGTTCTTCCGTAAGGTTTCAGTGGCTTCATTTAGCCTCACACAATTCTTGTTAGAATATTTCTAAGTTTTTATTAGTCATGTGAATAAGGCCCCCCCATGCCTGAGATTACTAACCTTATTCCCTAATGAGCGACAAGTTCTACCAGTGTCCCCGTTGACGGTCTTAGGTTACGCCAGATAACGGTGTCACACGAGGGGGACTGCGTTCTGCTCTGTCACACACACACACACACACACCCACACACACCCACACACACACACATATCTCTTCTCAGTCTGTGTCCTCAGTGTGTGCCCGGACTCTTCAGAACCATGCTGAGTAACAGCTGATGATGTGCACTTTCTTGTCTCTCTCTATCACTGAGATGATGATTCTAATTTTGGTGTGGTGACTGCGAGAGCTTTCCAGTTTGGGTACTCTATGGGAAAGCTCGGTAGACCGGGGTATGGGACTGGATCAAATGCTTGTACAGCATCTCTGTGATTGTTTACTTCCCCTTTCTGACGTGGCGTACATGCACAGATTCCTCAGTGTTGCCTTGTTTCTCGTCCTTTACTACCTGACGGGGCTGTACCTTCTTTGCTGTAGTACGTGCACGTGCACAGAGTCATGCCTGGCACCGAACTGTCCCACCTGGGGGTGGTGTGGAGAGGGTGGACTTCAATCTTTTTATATTTAAAATGTTTTATAGTGAGCATGTATTACTTCGGCAATTGAAAAGAAAAGGTAAAGAAGGAAAAACTACAGAGGCGTGTTGACGTTTTAACGTGTCTACTTCCTCGGCTGCTCGGCCTTTCCGTTCTAAGCGGAGGGAAGCCCCGCGGGGAGAGCCCGGGTTTGTGCGGCGCAGCGCGGCCGCACGGGAGCGGCGTCTACCTGCTCGTCACTCCTGTGGTAGTCGTTGTCCTCCTCTGGCTTCTCGTCTGCGGCTTCTTTGTGCGAACTGTCATCTGCTTTGGCTTCACCTTGGAGCAAAAACAGAAGATACCGTGTTATGAAATCCAGAATGTTAAACCATTAGTTTTTTTAACTGTACAGCATGCTCAAAATGCTATAAAAATTCCTTCATGTAAGACAGCTGCACCTTCAAAAGGACGCGAAGTCAGGGAGAGCTGGTCCACAGAGCACCTGTTAAGACACTGTGCTCCTCCAAGTGACTGCAGCTGCTCCTGGGCCTGTGAGTGTACGCACAGGGGCACAGCCGGCAAAGGCTGACGGGGACGGGGAGAGGGGCAGAGGAGCCACCCCCGCACCCAGTACCCCAACACTTAATATAGCAACTACCCACTAGGCATTGCAAGGCTCCTACAGTCTTTATCGCTCCAACGCTACTTTTAAAATGAAGACCCCGTTGTAAGTGAGTGTATCAACGGACAAGATCCCTGGCTTCCCAAACAGCCCCCAAATGCCTCCCTCTGCCTCCGCAGGGGTGCAGCACGCAGATCCTGCCCTTCCTAGGGGCCAGACAGGACCTCTCCTTTCCTCTAACATTGTTAGAAATACACAGGGCGGCCTAGAAACCTCTCCCTGTGGTCACTAGAAAAACACCATGGCATCAAGTATTTGAGTCATTTGTTGTAACATGTACAAACTAATTTTATACTGGAGCAGGGCAGGCAAAACTGAAGGGAAGCCTCAGGAGGCCCACCTGCACTGCACCCCACCTCCAGGTACTTTCGGGGCCCCCTCTGTCTCTGGCCCGTTTCTCAGCTCTGCCCCAGAAGTGATGGAGAACGTCCAATCCCAGACTGTACTACAGACTGTGGAGGGGGCACAGGGTGTCCCGAGAAAGGGGCTCACCACAGAGCCCACTCACCATTCCGATGGGGATCTAGGTGCTGTTTTGCAGAACAGGTCTCCCCCTTGATATCTCCAGGCACTTCCATGCCTAACTTGTGGTAGAATTCCCTCTGTTTTCTCATTTCCGCTATTAAAAATGAATATACATTCTTAATCTTAAGAAGGCAGTGGATCACGTGAAAATTCTGTTCACAAATGTCATGCGAAGAAAACAACAGATCTGGACCGGGGGTTCCGACGGCTGCCACCCTCAGAGCCTCAGAGCAGGGCAGTGCCGGCACTAGGCTGAAACCCACGGTACCAGCAGATGCACAGAGCCCTGACCGCAGCTGCAGGCTGCCCCCCACCCCTGCCCAAGACTGCCATTCTCACCATGGGGCTCAGTGGCACAGCAAACGTGACCCACTGACCACAGGCTGCTCAGTGACGGACTCAGGCTTTCTGGCACCGCCCACTCAGGGTCACAGCTTAGAAACCAGAGTCCTGCTGATGCACCGGGACCTTTCACAGCTACCGTGACCACCCAGGGGTGCCCGGCGGCGGGTAAAGAGTGCCCCCTGGTGTCTGTGGCAAGCCATCACAGCTGGCTGAATCCTGGGGAGGCAGCGGCGCGGCCTCTCCGCCCCAGGAAGTTTCCCTCGGGAAGAGAGGCCAGGCCACCACACTGCCCTCTGGTCTCCTCCTCAGAAGCGAGGTCAGTCAGCTTGTTCCGCGCGGTCAGCAGGCCAGTCACTGCTGGCTGCCCGCAGAGTGGGGGCCGGGCTGTGAGACGGCAGGAGTGGCAGGCTGAAACCCCGATTCTGACAAGGCAGCTACTGACCACTACTCCAGAGCGTACGCCCGACAATGAAGCTACTAGTCATTGCTCAGGGCCACACAGCAGGTAGCAAAGAAAATTTATTTATTTATTTATTTATGTAAAGATTTTATTTATTTATTTGAGAGAGAGAGAATGAGAGATAGAAAGCATGAGAGGGAAGAGGGTCAGAGGGAGAAGCAGACTCCCCACTGAGCAGGGAGCCCGATGCGGGACTCGATCCCGGGACTCCAGGATCACGACCCGAGCCGAAGGCAGTCGCTTAACCAACTGAGCCACCCAGGCGCCCTATTTATTTATTTTTTAGCAAAGAAAATTTAAACCCAAGTTGCTCAAGCTAATAACCTACAAATCACACTATGAAAAATACTTATGCGTACCTGACCCCGTAACACTTTGTTGCACTTTTTCCCTGCACATTTGTCTTCCCCCGTGCACCCGAGTTCCAGGGCCAGGAATACGTCTTGGTCACATCCTGGACCTACACCGACGCTTCACATGTGCAATCCCGCAGGAGCGCGCGGATGCAGGGGCAACAGGCTCAGGCAGAAAGTGGCCACCCCTCAGAACGGAAGGGACAGCACTGCTGGGACCAAATACGGCCAAGTGCCAAACCAGAAGACTGGTCTGGGAAATTTGGGATCAGCTTGGAAAGAAATCCAATAACCATATAAAAGCTAGCTCAGAATAAAGGTGTGAAATGCACTGCTTGATGGTGCAAGACCATTCCCACCAGGTTCTCCAAGAAGGACAGTGCAGTCCCGCCGGTCAGTGCGAGAGAATGCTCACCTAACGTGGAAATGAGGCAGCTTCAAATACCTTGTTTTAATTCTCAATAAAAATTTTTCACCTATCAGAAGGAAAAGAAGATTGAAAATAACAATACTCCATGTCAGGAAGATATCGGCATACAAATGATACTTGTGGTAAATTTTCAGCAAGGTAATCTGCTATTTAAAACTATTTAAACGCTTAACCGCTGGCCCCCAAATTCTGCTGGTGACCTACCCTAAAGCAATAACCACACTAGTGCATAAGGAGAGAGGGGTGCACACAGTCGCCGGAGCCTTATTCACAAAACTGGAGGGCTAGAAACAGCTTAGATACGGGGGGCTGGGCCAGCCAGAGGGCGAGGCCAAGACAGCCTCAGAATCCTTCTCAACACTGCATCCAAGATACCTTCCACTACTGACACAGTCAACATGTGAGATAAATCTAATTTACTTGCTACCCTGGGATACCGTGACGCCATTAAACATGATACAGATCAGGGGCGCCTGGGTGCCTCAGTCGGTTAAGTGTCTGACTCTTGATCTCAGTTCAGGTCTTGTTGTGAGTTCAAACCCCACACTGGACTCCATGCTGGGTGTGGAACTTACTTAAAAAAAAAAGATACAGGTCACATATTTTTTAAGGATTTATTTATTTCAGAGAGAGAGAGAGCGAGCAAGCGAGTGCACTCGTGAGTGCGGGGAGGGGCCAGAGAGAGGGAAAGGGAAAGAATCTGAAGCAGACTCCCCACTGAGCGTGGAGCCTGATGCAGGGCTCGATCCCACAACCCCGAGATCATGACCTGAGCCGAAATCAAGAGTCCGACGTGCAACTGAATGAGGCCCCCAGGTGTCCCAAGGTCTTATTTTTGATGTGGAGCAAGCACCACAATATGTCGTGAAAAAGGCAGATTGTGTAGCATGATCTCATTTTTTGTAAAAGTTACAAGTTATAATCCTGCTGTAACTAGGGTGCTACGAGAGTCCAGGGGAGTGAGAAATGCAATGCTACATTGGGCATGAGCCAGTGTCCTTCCCTGGCGCTCTCAGCTCCTCAATGACGCAGGCACATACGGGGTCCCACGGCCGACGTCACTCGGGTGAAAGACTGCTTCCCCTTCCCACCCCACCCCCGCCTCCGGGACCAGGCACGAGACGAGAACATCCACGCGCACCACTCAGACCCAACAAACGCCAGCCTGCGGGCTGGCAAGCATCCCGTCGGCAAACAGAGCAGACACTGGGGCTGTGTGAGCTAAGCAGCAAAACTGAGATATGACGTAGGTAGGTTTGGGACAGGGGCGAAGGCAAGTGTTTTATTGAAATAGAGTGCATTCTTGCTCTTATTATTTTGAATAAACTGTCATCTGTCAGATGAAGAAAAACAAAAGTTTTCACTTTACCTTCATTATTCCTTCTCTGATGCTCTTCACTCCTTCGTGCGGGTCCCAGTTTCCGACCTATAGCACCTCCTTCTCTCTGAAGAACTTCTTGTACGGTCTTGCAAAAAAGCAGGTCTACTGACAAGTTCCCTCGACCTCTGTTTCGCCAAGAAGGTCTCTACTTCTCCTCCCCTTCTGCAGGACACACAACTCTGGGTCGGTGGTTTCTTCTCTCTAAACAGCGCGCTCTCCGGTCTCTGCGGGCGTGGTTTTGGAGGACAAGCCAGGTGAATTCTTACCTTTGCTCCTAGGTCTCGTGTTCCTGGCACTGACCCTGCCTGGTGTTCTCTGAGCGTCCTGGGTCCGGGGTTTGGTGTCTGACATTAGTTTGGGGAAATGCTCAATCATTAGCAGCTCACGTATTTCTGTTCTTTCTCTCTCTCCTCTGCGTCCCGTGTTCCTGTCACGTGTACCATACACCTTTGCGGCTGTCCCACATCCTTGGAAACTCTGATTTTTAGTGTATACCCTCTTTTATTTTCAGACTTGGGAGCTTCTGTTGATAGATCCCCAACCTCAAGGTTCTTTCCCACACAAGTCCTGTTACTAATCAATCTACCTGAGGCTTTCTTCATTTCTGCTACTCTGGTTTTATCTCCAACATTTCTTTCTGCTTCTTTCTTAGGGTTTCCGTCCTTCTGCTTACACTACTCACCTGTTCTGGTCCACGTTATCCATTAGAGAGCCCTCAGCATATTTACTGTTTTAAAAATTCCAGTCCGACGATTCCAACATCCCTGCCATGTCTGGTTCGGATGCTTGTTCTGTCTCTTGAAACTCTGTTTCTGTCTCTTAGCAAGCCTTGTAGTTTTTTTCTCGTGAATCAGCTGTGATGTGCCAGGGACGAGGAATTGCTGTAACCAGGCCTTTGGTGATGTGGTGAGAGGTGGGTAAGGGGACGGGCTCTGTGCTCCTCTGATTAGGTCTCGGGCTTAGGGAGCTTAGGCCTCCACAATGAACTTCATCAGTGCTCCGTGGGAAGGGGTGGCTGTGAGTGCGGGGTGAGGTGAGGTGAGCTCCGGCTCCCCTTGCTCAGCTAGTTTCCCCAGCGGGCAGGCCTTATTGGAAGTATTTCAGAATGGCTCCTGTTCTTCCCCAGCTGGAAGCACTGAGGGACCGTGGCCGAGCTCCTGAGGGTGAAGCTCACGATACTGGATCTCCCTGCAGGTTTTTCTCTCTGAATTGTCCACAAGGAGCCTCCAGCAATTCCTCAAGCACAGTAGAGGTTTTCGGCCCTGTGTCAGTTCCCAGGGAGGTTTCTGCTCCGGAGTCTCTGCCCTGGGGAGCCGGGGCCCCCATACCAGTCTCTCCAATCTTGGGGCAGCAGTTTGCCCTATGTCCACCCCTCTTACGATCTAAGAAAAATGGCTGATTTCTCAGTCTGTTCAGCTGTTTATTTGTTAGGACAGAGTGGCAACTTCCAAGCTCCTTATATGAGGAACCGGAAACCAGAAGTCATGAAATTTCAAAATACAGTAATTATGAGTACGATTTTTTGTACTATAGGCTACTAACACAAAAAATGGACCCTTTTGGGGGGGATGATATTTGATTGGGGTTAAAAGTTAGTGCTCCTTATCATCAAAACTGATCACACATGTTCGTCTCTACCGAGATTTTACACATTTTTATTTCTGAACATGTCTTTTTACACAGAAATGCTGACATCAGGGCACAAGCACAGGACTTTATGTGGCTCATGCGTCAGCGAGGAGGTGCTCACGGAACTCGGTGAGCCTCTCCTCCTGGTGTTGGCCCCTGTGACGCCATCACACTGAGGGTTAGTGGTTCCCCACTGAAGGGTGGACTGAAGCTCCACAGCAGCGCAGTTAGTGGACTCTGAAATGTGGAATGAGGTCGAGGTCCTGGGCCCGTAGCTGGAGCCCAGAAAACAAGCCTGCTGCAATCTGCACGGGCTCAGAGACCTCCCTCCTCCTTTCACTTCTGACGGCCTGACATCTGTAGAGCAGCGTGACCCCAGCAGGAGTCTCTGTTGTGGAGTCTGCATCTAAGTCGCGCTGCCTGACTTCATTACCAAACACTATCAAGTCTTTGGGAAAAGGTAACTTCTGAAGTCGTTCAATGTTAAAGGTGCTTTGTTCCATTTTGAAAATTTCCTCTGCCCTTAGCTCCAAACTGCACACACACACTGCACCACTACTGAGCCATTAAGGGTTGTGTGGGAGGGCAAGTCAGGATGCTCAGCCCCCACCTTGGACAGGAACTCCGACGCCCGGGGACGGCAACATATGAAAGAGCGGATGAAGTCCACTGCAGACTCCGCTGGCTCAATGACACAGGAAAGATTCACCTCAACAGCATGCCTGCTGATGAATATGACGTCCTCCAGACACCTTCCATTTTCACAGGCATGGTTCGTTCATCCAACTGAGCATCTTCCTCATCCACACGCATTCTTACCACCACTGGTTGTAACACCTCTTGGCAGATTCCACTTCAGTTGTACTGAATTAGAAGTTTCTCAACCCCTTGAAGATATTCCCGCCTGCAGTTGTTCCGGGCTGCTCAGAGAGATTTCTTCTTTAGTCACTCCAAGCTCACCAAATGAACAGCTGAGCAGACTGGAGACACCAAAGCCAAGGAAAACCACTCAAAACAGCCTGCCTTGCTTTCTCAGCGACCCCTGATGTTGCTTGCAGAAGCTCCCTCCTGAGAGAAGCTCGTTCTCTGGGTGCATTACCTCCGCTGCTGCGGTCAAGCAAGATTTAACTAACTTACCATCAGTAGACAGCTTTCCTTGTTTGCTAACACATGAGCCAATCAGAAACCCACTTTGACTGCAGCCTTATCTTCATCTTTTATTTCTGTGAAGAAATCCTGCTGTGATGAGATATTCCATTTTAGACTTTCAGTTCTTCCCAAAGGTTGCTTTCCTGTGCATTGGGAGTCCTGTGCGTTCAGTCTGGTGACGAGAGCACTCACGAGGACGGCTCCGAAACAAAACCATGCACATTTCACCGTGGCTTCAAAGGGCAACATCTGGAGTCCATACTTCCCTTCTTACTTGTTTTGACATGACGCGTATGCACTGACAACAGAGTCTCACCGGGGCATACACAGCTTGCGAACAGCTGCTGAGCTGTGACTGCGTCTCTGAGATCTGCGTGGTGCGGGACGGCGAGAGCCCCCCACCCGGCCTGCCACGTATCCCTGCTCGCTGCTGGGACGTGAAGACAAACGAGGCAGGAAAGAGTAAGCATGCCGTGTCCCAGTGACACCACTTATGGATGCTGGAATTTCAATTAACATAACCTTCACATCACAAGTGTTATTCTTTTGACTTTTTCCTAACCATTTAAAAGTATAAAAAGCATTCTTGGCTCACGAACCCTGTAAAGATAGGCAGCAAGCCAGATCTGGCCTGCAGTTTGCCGACTCCCACTCCAGCCAGTGCGAAGAGGCAAGAGAAAGAAATAAAAATGCAGAACCCTTGGCCTAGAGATTCTACTTCCAGAATAAAGCCAAATATATTCACCCACACCCACACAAGTATGCAAAAGGGTGTTCAGCGCACCCCCTCCCCTTCGGCTAAAGCCAAAGGTGGGAACGTCCTAAGTACCCATCAGGAAGGAGTCCAGGAGCAGAACGACCCACGCACCATCACCAAGATGGGCAGAGCTCGATGTGCTGGTGAGCATCTCTGCGCCACGCTGGCGGGAGAACCAAGCTGAAGGCCGTTTGACAAATTTTGTAAAATGTGGCCTCTACAAAGGCAGATTTTTAAAAAATTATTTAAAAAGGAAACAACAGACAACTGAAAAACGAACCCTCCACCAAAAAGGCCTCGCCTACAGGGAAGAGAGAAGCGGCTGGCATGAGGACAGCGGCGGGAGCGGAGCCGGAGAAGGCGCAGCTCAGAGGGCCCGGACGGCAGCAGGTGCAGCCGGTGTGCTGCCCCACACGTGAAGCCGGCTTGCCAGAACAGGGCCTCCACCTGAGAAATCATGTTTGCAACCGTGGGCGCAACCAACACAACGATGAACTGCAGACTACCTGTGCCAAAGCCGTTGTGCTGTGAAGGGTTTCAAAGCTGTGATGTTCTTGTGATAAGCAACACATGGCCAAGAGTCTGAGAAACAGAGAAGCTGAGCGTCTGGTCTGTGAGAAGAGAGACCCTGGCCCGAGGGGGAAACGGGGGCACAACCCCCGCAGAGCAACTTGCTCGGTCAGCAGGGTCATCGTACTTGCACCATGTCCTTCCATTACAACCATGTCACAGGGCATCACCCACGGATGGCACCCGGACTCTGTGGGGAGGGGGCCGGTGCTGCTTGGGGCAGGAAGTCAACAAGAGGAGCCCAGAACCCACCTGCCCGGAAAGCAGGGCCATTCCAGACTCCCAGGGTGGTGTCAGGGACCACCAATGGGAGCGCCTGAGCTGCAGAAAGGACAAGGACCACCACATGCTGTGAACACATGCACACGTTTCCATCCACCTGACTGTGACTGGAGGGGCCAGAAAGCCAACCCGGCACGCCGTGTACAAAGGAGACCCGAGCACAGTTGTGCCTATCGATGTGAAATGGGCCTCAGGAACTCAGCAGTGATGTGTGGCTCTGTGGATGCGGTCTGCCCAGTACACGGGCCGGGCTGGGCCTCGGAAGAGGCAGGTTTTACTGCTTCTAATGAATCACAGACAGATGCTCTGCTCGTGTAGGGCGGCCGGGGCAATCCGACGGACAGGCTGACTGCACCTGTTCAGAGGCAATAACCACCAGGGTGGGCTTGCCAGAAACATGAGCCAGAATCCACTCAGGCCTGCAGACGCCATTAGTTCACAGGACCGGGGTGCCCTCAGCAAGTCCAGACTTGGAGACAGGAGAGCCGGGAGGGGGCCAAGCAGTCAGCCCTGGGCCTGACCTGACCTGGATCCGGATTGAAACAAACTGAAACAAACCTGAAAAACGTGTTCTCGAGGCAGTTAGAAATGTTGGCACTGACTGGGTATTTGACACCAAGGGATTACTATTATTTTCTTAGATTTATAAAGGTGCTGTGGTTACGTGTGTTAAGAAGAACCTTATCTTCTGGGACAGGAAGATGGGCGGGGGCAGTGGATGAAACAGGATTCACTGTGAGCTGGAAAACTGTGGACTCTGGGTAATAAACACATGGGATTCTGTATGTGGTTCCGCCTGCTTTTGTGTTTAAAATATTCTACAATAATTTTTAAAGGTACTGGCATTTTATTTTGATGTATTCTTTGCCTTAGGACTAAAAAACTTTTGGCTATAAAAAGATGATTGTCTCCATCTACATTTTACTCAGGAAACTTAAATTCTTCTTATATAAATGAACTTGTGAATGGTGAAGAAAAGAAGAACAACGTTATTAAGTTATGTAGGAAAAGCCAGATGAATATCTTCTGATCTAACATAGTAAAAGCTGTATTTTAAATTATAACCCTCTTCTGAAACATTACAATGAGAAAACACAGCCCAAAGGAATTCCTAACATATTTTATCTTTGAAAGAAAGTGCACCTGAGTTTTATCAGCAGGCACTGCCATGTCATCCCACCCCCAGACCCTGAGACCAATGTCCCTCCCCATCTCCCCTATCACCCCCCCACAAAGAGGGACAGCAACGGTCTCTGTGTTCAGAACTGGAGAAAAGTTTTAAAAAGAACAGCCATTTCCACTTTCAGGATATTTATACTACATAATATTTCTTTTCAATTCTCAATGAGATTTGACTTTAAATACAGTTAAACTTTATCGACACCCTGGCTACTGGTTGCGCGTCTGCGCAGGTATGATCAGGGACGCTGCCCCCACAAGGCTGCATGCTCAGCACGTTCCTTCTGAACGCAGGAGCGGCGAGGCAGAGACAGTGGACGAAGCCGGCACCACGGTACTTGTGAGTTCAGCACAGGGACAAGACAGGTGGTGCTGTTGCCAAAGAGGGGGCCTCCCTCCAGGGCCAGGACCCCATGAGGAAAGCTCCCCCAGAGGCCGTGCTGCAGACTCCGCGGTCTAAGAGAGACAGGCTGACACTCACCTTCCTGAAGGCCTGGAACCAGTTTGTAAACAATGTCCTGCATGGTTCTGTCATGACTGGCAAAAAGAATACAACAGGTAAGGTTAGCCAAAAACCCGGGCACATTTTCCATTAACAATAGCAAACTCCACAATCACAAATTTGAAATCTTGGTTGAATTCTGCTTCTAGTTTGCGTTTAAAAAAATGTTTGTGCTAGCAAACGTTACATATGACCTGAATTAATGCAACATTTAATTCATGTTCTGGAAGCTTAAGAACATTTCAAGTAGTGCTGGCACAAAGATCCTCTAGGTGATGAGTGCCCTCTGCCTGCTGAGCGCAGTGCCAACACAGAGCCGTGGCCTGGAGTGGCCTGTCCAACCGCACACCACCGCCCCCCACCTCTTCCACTGGTGCTTCCTGGGGTCTCCACCAGACAGGAAGCTTTTCTTTAACATTCTGAAAAATGTAGAGGAAAGGCCCTAAGATCAGGCCCTCTGGTGGTCTTTATGATCTACCTACGAAGGTTTTCTGAAAAGGTTACATAAGCACAGTATTTGAAATATAATTCTTATTCCAGTTTGCTATTTTTAAACATAAATTATTAATACATTTAAGTAACTGTTTTCAAATCAATGTTAATTTTCAAACATCATCCATTAAAATGAAAACCTTAAGAAACCCAGATAGGTAACTTGTAACTAACAAACAATTATGCTCCACAAAACTTACATTTAGCCGTGAGAGCTAGTCCAGGACTGGGCACACAGCAGCCACTCACCAGGCTCACAGTTCTGCCACAAACGGTGGGGGACCAGGTCCTGCAGAGACCACCGCTCACCATTTCCAAGAACTTTGAAGTTCTACCAGACATTGGGCTGACGACTCAAGCCTGTGGTGTGGCAGCCCGGAGCAGGGTTTCTCAACCCTTCTGACCATGATGATCCACGCTAAGAAATACACTTCACGTCCCCACGCTCACATTACGTGTGTGTATGGCTGATGGACACACGCACACGGATAAGCATTATGAATCCCAGGTGGCCTGCAGCACGTGCGACCCCTATCTCCGACTCTACCCCCACTGGCTTCGTGGAAAGCTCACCTGATCCACAAGGAAAGCAGGCCGGACCGAATCCTGCCACAGAGCTCAACCCTGGGTCCTCTGCATGACCATGCTAAACCCTGCCTGCCTGGCCAAGGACCCACAGGGCTGAGTGGAGGGCTTGGGGGACTCTCCTTGGGGAAGGTTCCGGGAGGCAGGACAGAACAGCACACGGCATTTTTCCTGGTGTCGGCACATCCAGGCTCTTGGTGTGGCAGCCCCTTGATACAGAGGCCACTTCTTTGCAGTGCTCATGGTTACACTCCATGCTGTAGGCTACATACCCTCTCTTAGCTCTTCTCTTGACCTGGCCTACATGGCCAAAGTCCTTGGCTTAAAGATGAAGTCTGGAAGGACAGAGCTGCCTCACAGATCCACCAGACCTTAGGAGCTCACGCTCAGCCCCTGCCTGCAGCCAGCACCTCAATGGCATCATCCTACCTCCTAAGGCCTGAGCCACTGCCTGGGGGCCCTGCATGGGGCCACCAGGCCCTGCTGCCCCATCCTAAGTGCCCTCTCCCCACTCTGCCCCAGCCCAGAGCTGAAGGCCCTTCCCTTGGGGCATCCGCGCAATCAGGGTGTAGCAGAATCAGAGCAGAAGGCTGGGCCAAGTGTGGAGGGCGAAGCTGTGTCAGGAACAAGGCTCTGAGCCAACTGCAGAGCTGGCATCAAGACGGGTAAAACACTGTAGTTCCAGGCAGAGCACAGAGGGCAAGAAGTAAGGGACAGGATTAGCAGGGAAGAGCCACCCTGGAGCCCAGAGCCCACAGCAGGCCTCAGGGCTGACCATCTTCCCCTAGCTCTGCACCTTGACCTCCCTGGCCTCCCTCCCGGGTCACCACATGGTCACTGCACAGAGAAGAGGCAGGGCCTGGCCAATGCACCTGGCTAGCTCCACTCTACTGGCCCCCTTCTGTGTGTAAGCAGGTTAGGCTATGTTTGGAACACCAGGGTCCCAGATTGCTAGAGTCTCAGCTCTCCAGAAAGCCCTGCCTAACCCAGAGCACAGGAGAGGGGCCATGGCACTCTGAGAGGGAGGGCCAGAGTCTCCACAGCTTCCCACCAGCATGAAGCCCCACCACCTCCTGCCTTCTAGAGTTCACATCAGGAAAGCCCCCCTGCTCTACAAAACTACACCCCCAAGACAGGAAACACACGTGAATACACACTGCCAACAATTAGCACCCAGAATATATAAAGCGTTTCTTAAAAGCAGAACAAATAAAACAAAGAACCCAATAGAAAACAACATGAGATGTGAACAGACACCTCCCAGAAGTCCAAATGGCCAGGTAACATTTGGGAAGAGGCCGGGGCTCACTGATAATCAGGGTAAGAGCACAAGATACCCTAAGAGCCACCACGTGGCAAGAATGCAGTCCACGGGCACCCACAGGACACATTGGTAAGGTCATGCACTGCACAACAGCCCAGGAGAGCACAGTAAGGCACAAGAGCTCTACACCCCAACACTCTGCTCTGAGGGATGGCAGAGAGACACCTGCACGCAATGCCCAGAGCAGCACTGAGTGCCCACCATGGACATCCCAATGTCCCCCGGCCACAGAACCCCACACTAACAGGCCGGGTCAAGGGCAAGGCACACAAACACACTGCTGGTCCCATTTGTAGTGAGCTGGACAAAGGAGACTAAGCTATGTTGTCTGGGGACGGTGGGCTGTTGGGCAAGGGCTTCTGGGCCTGGCGATATCTACCTCTTGATCTGGGAGTGGTTTCTCGCTGCGCAGACATGTTTTTAAACTCTTCTGTGCCCACTAGATACTTCACACCCTTAGGAGTGGTTCGGAACAGATTTTCAGACCTACCTCTGATGCTCCCATGTGGTGTAGGGAGCGCTTCGCTTCCTTTAGAACAGCCCCCCAAATCTGGAAGCCATTTAAAACTCTGCATAAAAGCCACAAGCCGACCCCCTGATGCCAGCAGGGCCACCAGCTGCAAGGAACAAGATGCAGGCCACATGCAAGGGGCCTAGGACCACTCGTTCCACAACAGAAAGGTGGACCCAGGGCTGCTACCCACTTCAGAATAAACGTCAGCCCGTTTAGTGTAAAACCAGTGAAATCCACATTGGTCCTGAGGTTCCTCAAATTATTCAATTTGAGCAAATAGTCCTGGAAACTTGAGGGAACGGCCCCGGTGCTCACTGGTCTGACTTGGCCGGCAGGGAGGCCAGGTGCGCAGAGCAGGGCGGGTCCCTGACATGGAACGATGCCGGAAGCTGTGACCGGGGAGCCTGGAGGCACTTACCCAATGTACTGTAGCGGGTGACTCTGGTGGATCACAATCCTACACGTGGGGCAGGTGTTATTCTCTTCCAAATACTTGACCAGGCAACTCCGACAGACTGTTTGCAAAAGCACATGCATGTCAGAAAGTGAAACCAGAATGCAGATGCCGACACCTCCTCGGGCTCGGCATGCACTCCGGCCACAGTGCAGACCACCTCGCACATGGCTGCTTCGATGGGACACCTGCCTCTCAGGTCTCACCAACAATGGAGAAGTCTCAAGTGCTCAATCAGGCACCTCACTCAGCAGGTCTGAGGGTTAGGGGTAAGAGGGACGAGGAACCTAAGTGAGGACAAGGTGCCCAGAGGTCAAGAGGGGAGGCTTCACTAGAATGCACTTCAGGGTCTCGTCCGAATATTCTCACCACAGGGGCTAACAGTTACAATTTTCATCTTTGTCTAAAAAAAAAAAATCACAAGATTTTCTGGGTGTAACAGAATTCGAGAAAATTCAATGATCATAACAATTTAAAGCTATGATTACCTTTAAAATAAAAGTTCCATCAAAATTGGCAAATATTTTATTTTCTAAGGCAGAAAATACAGGATCAAAAGTCATCTGCATTCCAGGCATTGGTTTTATTGCAAAGACCCTGTCCCCATAGAGGGCTCCTGCCTGGCATCCTCAGCCACCGTCCCAGCGGCTAGCTTTGGGTGAACAGCACCTGCTAACTGTTCACTCAAGATGGGGCTTAAATCACCCCAAGTTCAGCACAAGCTAAGAGTCTTCTAAACATCAAAACACAGGCTCATTAGCCTTGAGGAGCCAAACCACATTTCCCTGTTTAAAAAGTTTAAGGAATTCATTTGGAAATTTTAAAAATAAGCATTTCTGTCCACTAGAAATGAATTATTTTGTCATAACGCAGTTACACTGGTTTTGCGGTTACATAGAAATAACTAAATTTTTCCTATATTTAGCTTTCTTAAATGATATCGCTACTCAAATTACCCATAATATTTTTAATCTGAAATACTTTTTCTGATTTAAGATCTTCTTTAGTCCTGCTTCTGTGTCTTGCTTTGTGCTCGAGCTAAAAGCTTTTGGTGAGAAAAAAAGAAAGAAATAAATAAAAGAAAAAAGAAAGCCCAAGGATCAAGAAACCACAAGGCTCAAAGCTGTCAAAGGCCACGTTCTAGGACATTCCGCCATACACATATGCAGACACTCAGTCACATCTCTCCCACGGCTGTCAAACACCATGTTCTAGAATATTCCCCACATACACGTGTGCAGACACTCGGTCACCGTGGTCGCATCGATGAGATATCCGCTGCATAGGCGGCAGGTGATATGGGCGTTTATGTCCCAGAGTTTAATCTTTCTGGTCAACATCTTTGGCTTCTGCAAGAAAAAACCACTTATTAAGTAATATCTGAAATACTCCCAGGTGTTTCTTTCTTTTTTTTTTAATTTATTTATTTTCAGAGAGACAGGGAGAAAGAGAGGGAGAGAGATAGCATGAACAGGGGAGGGGCAGAGAGAGAGAGAGAAAATCTTTGGCAGACTCCCTGCTGAGCAAGGAACCCGATGCAGGGCTTGATCTCACGACCCTGAGATCACGACCTGAGCCGAAACCAAGAGTCGGATGCCCAACTGACTGCACCACCCAGGCGCCCTTGAAATACTCCCATGTGTCCCATCAAAGGTCCAGCCTCAACATAAATCAAGCCACAGCACATCCTCCTAGAAGGGCTCAGCTACCCACCAGGGCCAGGTCCAAGCTGCAAAGACTCTGGGGCCCAACTTCCATCTGTAGAACGGAGTGCTGTAGGTCTTCTCACAGAGGACCCTGACTGTCCTGCCAAATACCCGACGGGCGGCACTCCGCAAATGCACTACCGCTTCCCCTTAACCACCCATGACACTGCCCCCTCTGGGCCCCCCTGACCCTCTCCTGCTCAGGACTGAGCTGAGGCCAGCTGGTGAGGTGGGTGGGTGAGTCAGGAGATCCGTGTAGCTGCAGAAGAGAGGCTGCGAGAGCAGGCAGGCTGTGCTGGGTCTGGGACAGGAGGCTGTGGGGTCACTGCCAGAGCTTCTGGCTCCTCTGTAAAGCTAGGGGACAAATGACCCTGAGGGACGCTAGTGAGGGCAACGCTGGCCCAACCTGAACGAGAAGCAAAGTCCCTCGATGAGGCCTCAGTGTGGACACAAAGGAACAGCTGATAAGCACATGCAAAGGTGCTCAGCCCACAGATACATCCATACATGCAGGTCACACCACATGTCATTCCAACATCAGAAGGCAGTATTTCAGATATTCCAGTCGACATTCAGTCCTGACAAGTCCCAGGGAAGCGGACAGTCAAAGGGGCTGCCAGCCAGATGTACCCAAATAGAATAGGAGCTGTTCCATTTCTAGAGATTTATCTTAATAACGGGACAAGTTCAAAAGATGTTTGCTGCAATTGTTTAAAATGGCAAATCACAGAAAACTACCACTGAGGACTGCCTAAGAAAGCAATTTCATTTAGCCAGCCAGGGCGCCAGACCCTCCTCCCCTTCTCTCTGCCCTGTCCAGGGGAAATCCAACCAGCCCCACAGGACCTCACCCTTCCTGGGCCTCAGTAGCCTCCTGGCCCAGCACAGCCCAGTCCCAGAACTGGGGGTTCCCAAGGCCACCTGCCGATCCCCATCACTATCCCACAGGACATCAGCGTTGCACACACCATGGCATCATCAAAGTCCAAACATTTGTGTGCTGAAGTGCTGACATGTTGTCTCTGTCTCAGGGGTGGGGGGTGCGCCCCTTCCTGCTCGGCCCCCACTGTACCGGTCTCTCCCTAGACCACAGGCTCTATGAAGGTTGGCTTTGTTACTGCATCTCCTGAGCTGTGCCAGGAGTTACAGCAGCTCTTGGGGATGTCCACATCCTACCCCCATCACTTCACATGGGAGATGGTCCCAGAGGACCCCGTAGACCCCATGTCATCACAGGGCCCTTAAAAGGGGAGTTGGGAGGGTCAGAGTCAGAGAGACCAGGAGACATGATGCTGCTGGCTTGAAGGTGGGCCACGGGCCAAGGGTGTGGGTGCCCCAGAAGCTGGAAAAGACAAAGAACAATTCTCCCTTGGAGCCAGAAGGAGCCAGCCCTGGGGGCACTTTGACTTCTGACCTTCAGAACTGTCGGATGACACATTTGTGCTGCCGGTCCTTTGTTACAGCAGTAGTAGGAAACCAACCCGAAATGCTGCTCCAATGAGTACTTACAGAGTGAATGTTCCCAAAGTAAGCATTCCTAACAGAATTCTGCACAAAGACCAGAAACAGGCCTGTCAGAGTCGTGGGCATCACTGAGGGCAGCTGGCCGCACAGTGTGTGTGGTTCCCAGGCCACTGGGCAAGGGTACTCGCTGCTTAACGCTGTTTCAGAAAGGGGAAAGAAAGCAAACCACCTGGGGGACTTGAGACCCACTTGCATCCATGTGAGGTCCGAGGGCAGTGCTGGCCATACCTGCCACAGTGCAGTGCAGCCCGGGGGCCTGGCCGGGGCTTTGTGGCTGGATGAGGAGGCAGAGGGCCTGGAGGGAGCAGCAATCTGGAGGTGAACTGTCAGAACCAACAAACTCTCAGAGTGAGTGAATGCCATTGGCAGGACTGCCAGGCTAGCGTCGCTCACGGACAGGCTGCAGCAGACTCGTGGTCCCCACTGGACAGGGCCCTTCACCTCCCTTGCAGCCAGGGGTGTCTGTGGGTCGGGGTTCGCTGACATTACTAGGGATCTAGTAAAGATGAAATGGGGCTTGGTGGAACATTCTCAGAGGGGTTCCTGTGGGCCAATCAGCCTCATCTGGGGAAGATGGACCCGCTCTGAGGCAACGTGGGTTTGCATTCTATTCTTGGCAAGCGTGTGCACGGAGGCCCAGCCAGGTGGCTGGCCTTCGGGGAACCCAGCATCACCTCGTGGAGCAGGACATAAAAGGACAGAAGGGAAAGCCTGGAGTCATCCCAAGCAAAGCAGAGCAGAAAACAGGGGCCTGCTGACATGGAAACCTCACGTGAGGCCCCACGCCGGCCCCAACTGAGTACTGTTCTCACGTCCTCCACCGTCTACTGAGCAGCTGTTTATATGCCAGCCGCTAAGGGTATGAGGACAGGCAAATATTCCTACCACACAGTAATATGCTCAGCAACAAAATACCTTCCCAATCACCAAGTTAATTAACTGAGCTGCCAAACTAAAGACGAAACAGGGCTCACTTTGGCTGCACTATACTAAAATTAGAACGATACAGAGAAGATTAGCATGGCCCCAGCTCAAGGATGACACACAAATTCGTGAAGCCGAAACAAAGTTCCAGGTCACGCTGGCCCAGACGGGGCCTTTGGCCCCTTTGAGGGACAAGGGTCAGTGTGAGCTCATGCTTAGTGAGCAGGTGGGTGAATAGATGAAGACGTGTGTGTGCATGTGAGTGTGGACTCCCACACCTACTTCCCAGCTCTGTCCGTTGGGAGGGCCTGGGAGTAATGGCTCCTTGGCGGCCTAGGTCCCAGTGTGGACACACCACTGTCCGCCATGAGGTTCATGGGTGCAGGCACAAGGCTCCCGTAAGGCTGGGCTAGGAATGTAACAGAACTGGGGCAGAGAGGATCTGGCCCCAGCTCCAAGGGCTCCACTGGCCACATTGGGGACGACTGGAGCTTCAAGATAAGGAGTGACTACCATCAGGAGAACAGAATGAATCAGACTACAATCAGCAGAATAACACAGAAGTTCATGCGTCCACACTGAGACAGACAAATAAGTAAGGGATGTGCTTCCTTCCGAAAGAAGGTGAGCCGATCACGTGGAAGCGGGAGTCACCAGCCACCACAGAAACCGCAGCAACAGTTTCCTCAGGAATCACCAATGGAGGCTTTGTTGAGGAAGAGAAGATTCAAAAAGTCTCAAAGACCCCCCCAACCAAACACTTCCCGGGCACAGAATGAGACGGGGCCTCCAGGTAGAAACACTGTGTAGACATCACTTACGGAGTGACCAGGTGACACCCAGGTGGGTGACAGATAGCTGTGCCTCCTGGAATTACGCCACAAAGGGCACAGCACCCCCTCGAGACCCCTGCTAATAGAGCACACACGAGTCTCACCTACAGGAAACCCCAAAGGAGGTGACCCCGAGGGAGGCAGGTCGCACGACACAAGGGAAGATGGACGGGGTAGGTCGCCTGGGTGCAGCGCCCAGCTGAGGGGGTGGCCCTGACACCCTAGGAAAGGGACCCTCTACCTGCTGACCACCCACATTAGGAGACAAGAGTGGCCCTGGGAGTCCCCCCTGGCCCAGACTGCTGGCTCTGCCCAAGCTGCGCCCCAAGGCCAGCCACCCTCCTGTCCTCAGGCCTATGAGGAGCTGCACTCAGAGGGGAAATGTCCACTGTCACCACCAGGCAGACATCCCGCCCCTGGGCCTCCCATGCTCGGTGGCCCCTGCGCAGCCCTGGACACTGGACAGCAGGTGGGCACGAGCCGCACGCCGCACCTACCAGCAGAGCCCGAGATGCCTCGCCTGGTGCGTCTTAGAGCCTCTCGCAGCGGGGAGGGAGGCAGACCCCACGGACGTCGGGAGAGGTCAGCAGTGAGCGTGAACAGTGGGCTTTTCACAGCTGTCCATCCCTTCCCACGCGACAACACAGGCTGCCGAAGGGCCGGCCTGGAGGCCGGGCAAGACCGCCTCACCTCTTCTAGATGTCTTCCGTCCCCGCCTCCTGCCTTTGCATTGGGCGCTCAGGCTGCGGCGCTGCGGCTGTAAGTCCTCGCCTGCGGCTTCACTCTGCCCTGCGGGTCCTCGCGTCTGCGCCTCCCCGCTGTCCCTTGACCTCTGTCCATTTTCTGGCACAGAAACAGCCCCTGTTATTTCCTGTCAGCTCGTCCACGTAGGATGCACACGGTCCCGCAAGGAAGCTGTCTAGAGTTCTTGGGTGAGTCCCACGTAGTGAACAATACAACACGGTCAACCGCGAGTACTAGCTAAGAGGAAATCTGGAGACATGGAAGTGGCTGTACCCTCATCTCCCCTACAGCTGTCAGAGATTACGCTTTAAAGGAGTTACAAGGAAATGACTTCTGTGGCGACAGTATAATCCAAGGTAAATTTAAGCAATTCACATGCACTGAGGGAAGAGAAAAATCAAAGTTCAAACCGCATTTACCTGTACATGGCAGCCTGGAACCCTCTGCTACATTTTGAAGCCTGTGGAGACACACAACATAGGGGCATCACCCACACACGCCGTCCACACGGAGCCCACGTCCCCCGCCACACCAGCAGCCTTGTTTTTGCCCATTTACTTGTTTAAAACAACCAAAAGGAAAACAAGATTAATGGCACTAGGGAAGAACCAGAACCGACCACAGAGACGTGGACAGATCTCAGTGGCAGAGTCCTGCACCCTCCGCACACCGCACCTGCCCGCAAGTGCCAGTGTCACCAAGGCCCAGGGGCCGCTGGGCTGGGGGGCCCTATGGGAGGTGTGGGGGTAGGGGGCTCCGTCACAGCTCCAGAGGAGGGGGCAGATCTCAGGGGCAACCCGATGGGAGGCTGGGACCTGGGGGAGGGGCAGGGAACAGTGCGCAGTAGTATTTACTGCCGTGATTTCTGTGTTTTTTGCACCCTCACATCCCTCCTCACATCCTGTAAGGTGAGCACGCAGGCTCCGAGCTGGGTTCCGGGCCATGGGAGGGGTCACGGAGTTCTTGGGGGAGACGGGCACAGACACCAACCAGCACAGGGCTCGGGTCGGGGCCCAGGGAGGGCCGCGTGAGGGGCCTCACTGACTGGAGCCTGGTGAACACAGCTGAGGGGGAGGGTGAGCGTGAGGCCCCCAGGAAGACCTGGGCTCCCATTCTGGGTGACAGGGAGCCAACAGGTTGCTCTCAAAGCTTCAGGGGGGTCGGGGGGGGGCTGCACCCCAGCCTGCAGGCCCTGGGGTGGTCAGGCTGGTGGCCACGGTGCCATGTGGGGGCTCAGTCTGAGACTCCTCCAGAACCTCCACGGACCTTTCCCTCCTGCCTGCCCACACTCTCCCTCCTCTATGGGAAGCCCCGAGGTCTCCCCACCCTCCAGCTGGGAAGGTGGACAGGCAGGGCTGGAGCAGGGACACACCGGAGAAAGCACCAGGACCCTGGCGGTTAAATACAACCTTGGAACGGTGGGTCTAGTAGTACTTAAATCACGTTCACGTTATGTCCAGTTTGTGTTATTTTTACTCTTCAAGCTTTCCACACTGCATTATTAATTAATCTTTGAAGCTCAATTAACTTCTACAGAAAAAGGAAGACAGGGAGGGAGGGAAGGAGGAAGAGAGTTAGGTGGTTGGTTACAGGAAGACTACCAGGTGTGTCAAAGGCACTGAGAACCAAGACAAGGAAACACGGGACCTGGTTCTAGACCAGGGCTGACCAGACGCTCTGGGCCGGTGGGGCCCCAAGAGGGTGACTGCTGAGCCCTTGAAGTCTGGCTAGTGTGCATGAAGAACCCTTCAGTGCACTGAATTTTATTTAAATTTTATTATGGCTAGACACACTAGACCTCAGTGAACAAAAAAGACACACAAAAAAGGCTCCCTAGAGACTACATCCTACTGGAGGAAGACAGACAATAAATAATAAATGCAAAACATGGGTAAATGACTTCGTGTGTTAAAAGGTGATAAATGCCATCAACAGGAGCAGAGAAGGGGAGTCAGGGCACTGGTGGGGGGACAGGGGGCCAAGGAGTCTCTCTCTGAGAAAGTTACTTTCGAGCAGTAATAGAGTTATGCTATTGGTATGAATGATGAAGAACTTTATGCTGACAAAGTTGAAAATCTATATGAAATTGATAAATTCCCAGAAATATAACTCACCACAATTGAGGCAAGCAGAAAAAACCCAGAAGTTCTGTGACTATTAAGGAAGTGGACTCAGTCGTCAGGAACACCCCAGGCCTACCATCTCAAGAGCGGTTCTACCAAGTGTTCAAGGAACCCAAACAAACCTCCTCAAACAAATCCACTCAGACGATCAAAAAGACTGTATTTTCCAACTCATTTTATGGAGGGAACATACACACACATCAGATCAGAACTGAAGGAAAATCACAGACTGAACTCACTGGTGGCCATCACTGTCAAAATTGCAAGCACACGGAGTCACCTGATCCAGGAATGTCTGAGCAGGAGGGTCATGCTTGAAAACTAGCTTTATCCCTACTATACAAGGGGGCTTCCTCTGAGGGGAAAAAAGTAATTTGACAAAAGACAAAAGAAGAAAAATGAGAAGATCTTCCCAAAGATGCACAGAAATCATTTGATAAAATTCATTATCCATTTAAAAAACTCTTAGCAAATTTAGAAGCTAATAAAAGTTCTCTGTTTAAAAGAAACACAGGGGTGGGGCGCCTGGGTGGCTCAGTCGTTAACCGTCTGCCTTCGGCTCAGGTCGTAATCTCAGGGGTCCTAGGATTGAGCCCCGCATCGGGCTCCCTGCTCAGCGGGAAGCCTGCTTCTCCCTCTGCCACTCCCCCTGCTTGTGTTCTCTCTCTCTCTCTGTCTCTGTCAAATAAATAAATAAAATCTTAAAAAAAAAAAAACAAAACACAGGGGCGCCTGCGTGGCTGTGTCAGTTAAGCGTCTGATTCTTGATATCGGCTCGGGTCGTGATCTCAGTGTTGTGAGATCGAGCCCCGTGCCAGGCTACAACGCTGGGCATGGAGCCTGCTTAAGACTCTCTCTCCCTCTGCCTCTGCCCTTCCCCCACACTAAAAATAAATAAATAAATGAAAGAGACACAAACACAAATATGCACTCAAAGGTTTATGCCTGAACGTTCAAGGCAGCTTTCTTCATAATAGTCCCACAATGGAAAGAGCCACAGTGCCTGTCAACAGGTGGTGGGGAACAGAAAGCGGTCCATCCACTCAGCAGGTACTGCTCAGCAACCAAAATGAACAAAGGACAGAACTCTGTACTGCAGGAAAGCAGACAGACCCAAGGAGCTCGCCGTGCATGTCCCACCGGACACACAGTTCTAGAAAAGGCAGATCTGGGTGCCTGTGGGCCAGCCAGTGGCAGGGACTGGTGGCTGGAGGTCTGAGGAGATGGCAGGGCTCTGGGTCAGGACGGGGGTATGGTCACAGATGTCACACCAGAAAGCTATGGTGAGCTTTAGCGTGGGTAAACTGTACCTCTGTTAAAAGTGCATTTTAAAATTAAAAAAAAAAAACTACAACAAACATCATTCCTAGTGGCGAAATTCGAAAAAAAAACAAAAACAAACTCCTATTTTATACCAGGCGTCTCCCCCACCCTCATCCCCAAATAATCAATGCCAGGTGGATGAAGACCAAATGTGAAAATACAATTTTAAACCTTTGGAAGATACTAGGGAGAACATCTTCCTGATCGCAGGTGAGGAAAAGGTAACAAAACAGAATCAAAAAGCACTAACCACAAAGGGAATGACTACTAAAATCAACTTCGTTAAAAATAAGTGCATCAGACAATCAAAGAACCCAAGAGTGGAAAGAGCCAGTGGCAGAGAACACCCCACACCTGAGACTACAGTCCAGACAAGGCTCCACAAGGCTGCGTTGTAAACTAAGCTTGAGCGGGGCCCGCCATGCCCACCCGTGTCCTGTCAGTCCCTGCTTTGGGACGGAGGAGTTTCACTTCACAAAAGAGAAAATCCAAATAAGCATATTTTTAAACATTCAGCTTCATAACCGGAAATGCAAGTTAAAATCCCAACGAGGGTCTGCTACAGGTCCACCACGCTGGTGAACACCTTCTCCCTTGCGTCTGCTGGCCCCCAACTCCGTCAGGCTGCTCTCAACAAGATCCCAGTGACAAGGACATTACCAAGATAACCCATCTCCCAGACCCCTGGTCACCCCTCCACATCTGACTCCTGAATCTCTTCCAAGTGGCTCCCTGCTTTGGTTCACGGAGGCTGGCTCTACCACGCACTCTGCACAGGTACCGGAGCCTTCCAGAAGGGCATGGGGGGCGTGTCTCTCCACCACAAGTTCCAGGCCCACCCCAGGCCCACAGGCAGTCATCCTGTGCGAAGAGGCCCAGCCTCCCTGTCTACTCACCGCGGACCACCCCTCCAATCGGCCTCCACCACCAACAGTTGTGCACCAGTACCTCTGGCCCCTCTGCCGCATGCCGCGCACCGTACCCTCTGGGTCACGCCCCCCCCCGACTCCCGGGAGTGCCCTTCAGTGGATGACTCCCCACCCCTCCATCACCGTGTTGCACCTCCATCACAGTGACTGTCCTTTAGGTAAATACACCGGGTTTGTTTTGCAGGGTGGAAGTAATATGCACCTTTATTCAACATGATTTGGAAGGTAAAGAATAACACTAAGGAAAAAACCCTACAATCCTAGTCACCCCAAACTAACTGCTGTCCTTAACATAATGGTGGGTTTCCCTCCGTGGGTATATCCTCAAATACTCTGAACATACACACATATCCTCATTTTTACTAGAAAGCCAGCCTCAGACTACATATGATGCAATACAACAGGGCTTTTATAATGCATAAACTACGCCGGTGTCTTCCCACGTCAGGCTCCCAGGTCACAGCTGCAGCTGTGCACCCTGACCCAGAGACGCAGTGCGTGAGAGCAGCCCCACCACCAGTGGGCCCCTCCTGGGAGCACCCTCCTCAGTGCCAGACCCAACTTCCCTCCCCTCAATTCCAGGGCCAGCCTGGACCCTCCTCAGGCCCGCCTGCCTGAGGACCCCCCAGGAAAACCTGTACCCGCCTCCTCATGCAAATCCACACCCAGGGGTTGTGCTTCTTCCCGTTAACCAATTCCTACAAGAACCTTCAAGTTTTCCACTTACTTTTTAAAGAGTTTTGCTAAGTGGTATGTTTCTAGGAAAATCTTCATCAAAATCACCAGCACAGAGTTGATCATAATATCCCATAACATTTATCAAACAGCTTTACTGAGAAGTATTTGTCAAAACATAAACTGCCCGTATTTTAAAGAGACAACTCAGTTTTGACATTCGCCTGGGAAAGGACCACCACAGTGGAGATACGGCCCCTCACCCCAGAGACCCCCAATCCACCTGGTAACTGCCCTGGGGTGGCGTGTTCTGGGTGCTGTGCCCCCGATCCACCCGGTAGCTGCACTGGGGTGGCGTGTTCTGGGTGCTGTGTTTGCAGCCCCTCTCACTCATCCTGTTTTGAGGCTCG